ATATAGACTCTCCATATAACATCCTTGGCAATTCCACTTGGATATCTATTAGACATCCCCTGTATAACACAGATACCAGACTTCCTTTTTTTTTTTTTTTTCTTTTTCTTTTGTATCTCTTAATCCCTTCACCCATTTCACCCATCCCCTTACCAACCTTCCCTCTGGTCACAGTTTGTTTTCTGTATTTAAGAGTGGTTTTTTTTTTTTTTTTTTTTTTAAGATTTTATTTATTTAACAGACAGAGATCACAAGTACGCGGAGACGCAGACAGAGAGAGAGAGGAGGAAGCAGGCTCCCCACTGAGCAGAGAATCTGATGTGGGGCTCGATCCCAGGACCCTGGGATCATGACCTGAGACGAAGGCAGAGGCCTTAACCCACTGAGCCACCCATGTGCCCCAAGAGTGTTTGTTTTTTTGTTGGCTTGTTTGTTCATTTGTTTTGTATTTTAGATTTCCCATATAAGTGAAATCATATGGTATTTGTCTTTCTCTGACTTATTTCACTTAGTATAATACCCTCTAGGTCCATTCATGTTGTTGCAAATGACAAGATTTCATTCTTTTGTGTATGTATATACCATTTTTTAAAAAAGATTTTATTTATTTATTTGACAGACATAGATCACAAGTAGGCAGAGAGGCAGGCAGAGAGAGAGGAAGGGAAGCAGGCTCCCTGCCGAGCAGAGGAGGCTGGGATCATGACCTGAGCTGAAGGCAGAGGCTTAAACTCACTGAGCCACCCAGGTGCCCCTGTATATAACATATTTCTTTATTCCTCCATGTAGCAATGGACACTTGGGCTGCTTCCATTTCTTGGCTATGTAAATAATGTTGCAATAAACATAGAGGTGCATATATCTTTTCATTTTTTTTTTTTTTTTAAAGTAAGCTCTATACCCAGTATGGGGCTTGAACTCATGACCCTGAGATCAAGAGTCACATGCTTTACCCACTAAGCCAGCTATGCACCCCATGTATCTTTTCAAATCAGTGTTCTCATTTTCTTTGGGCATATACCCAATAGTGAAATTACTGGATCATATGCTATTTCTATTTTTAATTTTCTGAGGAACATCCATACTGTTTCCTACAATGGTTGTACTGATTTACATTCCTACCAACCATGTACGAGGCTTTCCTTTCCTCCACATCTTTGCCAACACGTGTTATTACTTGTCTTTTTGATACTAGTAATACTGACTGGTATGCAGGGATATCTCATTATGGTTTTGATTTGCATTTATCTGATGATTAGTGGTGTTGAGTATCTTTTCATGTGTCCCTTGGCCATTTGAATGTCTGAATTCAAAATTCTTGATTCTTTCTACCTTGAAACTATTCTAACTCTAAATCTTCCCCTTTCAATAAAAGCATCACTATCTACCTAGTGATGCAAACACCAAACCCAGGGATTCGCCTTGATTTTTTCCTTTTCTGCCTGCCTTCCCCCACCCCCACCAGCAAGTCTAGCTGGTTTTACTTCTAAAATATGTCCCAATTCAACCTCTGTTCTCCATATCCTCTGTTAGTCCAAGCCACCATCATTTCTTGCCTGGCTACTATAATAACCTCCTGTCAAGTCTTCTCACTTCAACTCTTTCCTCTCTCCAACCCATTTTCTGAGTGAACTTTATAAAATCTAAAATGGATACTGCTACTCCTTGCCTTGAGTCCCTGAAGTAGGTATCTCCATCATAGTTCCACGTCATGGCTCCTTACCATACCAATTTTTCTGACTTCACTCTCCCCCATCACTATGCTCCAGCCACACTTTCTATTATTTGAATATACCAACTCCTTTCTTGTCTCAGGCTGACTGCACTTGTTTATTCTCTCTGCCTAGAATGTTTTTATCCAGCCTTTGTACTTTCTTACCGTATAGGTTATTTGCTTAATTTAACTATTACCTTCTTAGAGAATTTTCTTTTACCATCCAATCTAAATATTACTCCAGTGTAGTCTTTTCTTAGCACTCAAATGCACAGACTAAAATGATCTGGTTGACTCATTTATTATGTTACCATAACAGAATGGTATGGGCCCTTGTCTGACTTGTTTATCTCCGTCTTACTAGCATCTAGACAAAGCCTTGTACATCAAATCCTCTTAATAACCCCCCCCCCATTCTTTAAATAGGAAAAGATAGTGAATGGTGACAAACCACATACAATCAGTTACTTTTTCTGGTAAGTATGTACTATGAGAAGCATACCGAGAAGGCATCAGAGAGTAAAAGATGATTGCTTTCAAGGGATGACAAGATGACTGGGTCACTGGAGCTGTTGATCTCGGAAAAATAATCATCTATTATCCAGTTCTCCATGAGGCTACTGGTTTGTCTCAATCTTTGAAGTGTGGGGGACCTAGAGGAATTAAATGGTTACTGACAGTTTCCAGGCCTTCCCCATGTATCCTTACAATGAACCCTGTCACATAAGGCAATGCCTCAAAGGCAGAGGAAGATATTAAGTTTCATCTCTAAGAGACCTGAGCTACTAGTAGATTCTCGCAGATTTTGAAATTTTTTAGTCTTCTATTTTATCTTTACATTTACATAAATTTTGAGTTCAGTATAGCACCATTTCTATATTTATGTTAACATATGAATACTTGAACTTATTGTACCATTTGTAAAGTCTTTGCTGCAGGAAAGCCACGCTATCCTGGGCCTTTACATTCTCCACGGCAATCACACCTCAGGAGATACATGTTTGCTGTCTAAGAGTTCTGGCATTCTCTTTCCTTTGCAACCCAAATTCCCTTTAAGTGTAATTTATTTGTTCTTCAATAAATATTTACTGAGCATTTACTATGTACTAGACATTCTCATAGGACTGAGGATACAACTGTGAACAGGATATGCATAACTCCTACCTACATGGGAGTTAACAGTTTAGGAAGAGAGAATAGAAAAAAGGGGAAATTAAAATATATTGTGATATTTGCTAGGATAAGGAGGGAAATATAGAAAACGGCACCTAACCTCAAAATAGGTGATCAGGAACGATTTTCCAGCATGAAATGATCTGAAAAAAGGGCAGGAGTTAGCCAGGTGAAGAATGGTAGAGAGTACTCCTGGCTTGCCTACGACTAAGCCCTGGAGGCCAGAGAGAGCACAGAACTTACAGGAGCCAATCCAGTGTGTTAGTTTAGTTTGGCAGGAGTAAAACTTGTAAGGGAGAAAGAAGAGAGAAGGCTGGAGAGGTAATCAAGGCAGGATATGAAAAGCCTCTGCTCAGGGATCTCTGTATCACTTAAATGGAATAGAAAGTCACAGAAAGTCATCTCAAGAACTGGCTTGTATCTGTTTTTTAAAAAGGATCACTGGGGGCGCCTGGGTGGCTCAATTGTTTGAACATCCTACTCTTGATTCGGCTCAGATCATGATCTTGGGGTCGTGAGATCGAGCCCCATGACCAGCTAAGCATTCAGCATGGAGTCTGCTTGAGAATGTCTCTCTCCCTCTCCTTCTGCCCCTCACCCCCCACTCTCTCTGTCAAATAAATAAATAAATAGACTCTTAATAAAAAAAAAAATAAAAGGATCACTCAGAAACTGTAACTCTATGTCTGGAAAAGAACAAAGACTCTACTTACATTAGGGTAAGAGGTGTGGTTAGCGAATTCAGGGCCCCTAACTAACTGAACTGAGTCACCATCTTAAAATTTTCCCCTTCAAAGTATCTCTTTCTCCCAAAGTTAACCACTAAGCATCTTTGGGACCAACCTTCTCTGGCCTCTCCCCCATCTCTAGACTCCCAACTTGAGTCACTGGGATCATAGCATTCCCTCAAGGAACAAATACTTTTCCAACACGCTGCAATACCCAAAGCGCATGCGATTTTAGATTTAACATATTTAGATTTAACATATTTTGGCCTTCTTTGGGGCATTCTTTCTTTCAAAGATTTTAACTTTTTTTTTAAGGTAATCTCTATGCCCAATGTGGGGCTCGAACTCACAACCCCAAGATCAAGAGTGGAATATTCTACTGACTGAGCCAGCCAGGCGCCCCTTTTTTGGCATTCTTGATCTGATATTCCAGCAAAGGCCACTGCTAAGTTTTCCCCTACAGTAACGGGAGGTCAGAAAAAGATCTGAGGAGCTTTGGGCAGCTTAATGATTGGGAAGAGAATACGGTTGAAGTGTTTCAACTCAGTTGGTCATTCACTGAGAAAACTCGTTGCAGGAGTTGGTTCTGTGGGTCAGGTGGCGATGAAGACACTGTCACGGCTTTTCGAGGTGGAACCTTTTCTTTAGTGAGTGACTAATTGCAGTGGCTAAGCCAAGAACTAAGCGTGCGTAACCTTGACAAACGGGTACCTGATGGGCGCATTATCTAAAGCTGCCAGATATTTGGAGCAAATGTTCCTTTTTTGATAAGAAGCTCACGTGATGCCCGTTTGGCATTCAGAGCACCTGGGCTGCTGTTATTCCTTCTCTGGTTTTTTTTTTTTTTTTTTTTTTTACAACTCTGGTCTGTCTCAACTTTTGCATGAAATTTCTGTGCGAGCTCAAAGCGGGCAGATTTAACAGCTGGAAAAAAAACGACGACACACGGCTTCCCCAGCTCCTTAAGGTTGTTTTTTTTCGTTTTGTTTTTCCTGGTCTGTAGGTGAATACCATGACTGAGCAAGCCGAGTGCACGGATTGGTGTGAGAGGGCACGCAACAAATGTTTACAAGGAAGGGCACCTCACCAACCGCAAACAGAGCAGGGTGAGAGGACACCCGAGCATTTCCTTTTCCTGTCTCCACGTGACTCGGGAACGCGGGGCGAGACATTTAAAACCAGCACCGCGGCAGAGGGAAAGGATCCTAGGTCTTCCACGCCAGCTCCCTTTCGGTGCCGCTGCCTCAAGGGACTGATAGGCGGGAGAGGGCAGCGGTTTCCAAAGTCGCAAAGACGTCCCTTCTCCCAGGACGGTCTCTCAGTTTCCCATCCTGGCTCCTAACTACAATTTGTTTCTTTTTATAACATTCTTGGTTTCTCCTTACCTCAGCTTGTAAGAAAAGTCCTTTGCGCCACTCCCCTCCAAGCCCAGGACAGCCCTCAGGTGCTCACAGTCCAGTCCCAATTTGTGTCAGTCTATTAAGGAGCATGAGGCGACGGAAACTCTAGGAGAGAACCGAGGACCCGCGCGCGCCTCAGCTGTCCAAGAAGCCGGCGAGACCCGAAAAGGGGAGAGCGCTCAGCCCGTCAGGCCGCGGCCCCTTTAAGAGCAGGCCACGCCCCTCCCCTCCTCCCGGCGCGGCGGGCGGTCGGTGGCGGCCGCTTCGGTGCTGACAAGATGGCGGCTGGCGGGGCTGTCGCTGCGGCGCCGGAGTGCCGGCTTCTCCCCTACGCGCTACACAAGTGGAGCTCCTTCTCCTCCACTTACCTTCCCGAGTAAGTGCTGGGCCCTGAGCTCGTGCTGCCCTACTCTTCGGCATAAGCACGGCTGGGCCAGGGGGGCAGTGGAGGGCAGTCGAGCCGAGAGGCCCAGGCAGGGCCTGGTAGGGGGACGCCTGGCCTCTCGAGTCTCAGTCCAGTCGCGGAGAGCTTTGCCTTCCCCACCCCTCGTCTCAAGGGGGGAGGGGGGGGTTAGGGCCGGGAGAGCGGGGTCGGGGCGGGGGGAAGGGGTGAGGTGTGCCGCGGATCCCGAGCGCGTAGAACAACCGGGAGTCCCGTGATGCTGTGCCGGGGATCTGGGGATTGAAGAGAGCCGGGGGGAGCGGCTGGCTCAGGGAGGTGGGGCAGGGACAGGAGCTTTTGAGGTTCCGATGTCTGGCGAACTGATGAAGACGTCTGAGGTCGTCGGAGCTGTCGGGCGACGGGGGACGGCTCAGCCCAGAGTGTAAAGCTGGGCAGAGGAGTGATTGTTCCTGACTGGGGTCATTAGAAGTGATTATCTCCAGAGGAGTGATAACAAGTCACGAAGGGCTGAAAAGTTGTGGGATCCATCTGAATCTTTGCAGGTGGGGAGGATTTGTAGGATTTGCGGAGGGTTGTCTTTTCCGGCTGGTAGTTCTGAAAAAGATAGCGGGCTGGGACATTACAGAAGAGTTCCTTTATATTATGGCTCAGAACAGGGATTTATAGAAATACAGACCAGTTACCCAACCCAGAAACTCAAATATAGACAGAAAAGTCTGACTTTAATGAATTTGACTCCCAGCACTGGTTTGGTCTGAATTCCTGATCTGGGGTTAAAACCAGTTCCATTGCATTTATTTATTTATTTATTTTTAAATGAATTCCTTCTGAAATGCTGAAAGTACTTTCATACAGTATTTATTTATCTTTAGCTTATCTTTGAGGGAAGAGCACGTAACTCCCAATGTTACTTACAGATAGAGAAACTGGCTTAGTGAAGTTTAAAGATCTGTGCAGACCCTCAAGAAAAGTGCTAATTGCCCCCCCCCCCATTTCACAAGGCCAGGAATGGTTTTGTAAACAAAACAAGTTGTAAATAATATATATTTTATGTTATTCAACAAATGAAGTAACTAGATCTGTGAGGCATACTCAGCATTTTTCATCTGTATTTCAAAAAGTCTTTAGATTTTTTCAAATTTGATTTCTTCAGTTAAATCAGTGAAGAATCTGAAAAAGGATCTGTGACTAGAAGAATCTATAACATTCTTGACTGCTAGTCCATTGTCCTATTCACCAGGTCAAGGGTTGGCGGTCAGGCCTTCAGTAGGGTTTGCTTCAGTGAAGGCTGCCAAGTGACTTGTGGTCAGTCTGGCCTGTGTGGCTTATTGATGGCTGCTGCATGCGTGTCCTCCTGATTGATGTTGGACTACAACTTTTCATTTGAGAGTGAGCCAGGTAAACATTCCAGCCCTCAGCTGGAGTTGAAATGTGGCCCAGGTACTTCTGATTTTTGAAGCTAACAAATTCTTGAATCTGGAGACAATTAGCATTTTTCTGTACCCGGGTTAGGATCACAGGCAGTGGGGAATTGGGGTGGCATCCTTTGACCTAATAGCTTCAAAGAAGTGTTATAATAACAGAAGTTTTTCTGGTCTTAAGTTGGGCTTCCAGGATTTCACTCCTTAAACTTCTGGTGTAGGGGCAGGACTTTGATATTAGAAGTTCCATCTCAGTTATGAATAAAAAGGAAAGAGTGCATTTCAAGCAGGAAATCATTCAGTGGGATGGCAACTTTACTCTGACTTGTGTCTCATCCTGGCCCAAGATTTGAAGTGGACAGAGCACTAGTTTTGGTTAGAAGGCAGTTGTTTGAAATTGGAGAAATCTGTTGTTATAATTTTCTCAATTATGTTCATAAATTAGTATTTAATGCATATTTAATTTTCAGACACTTTTATTTACAATATTTACAATATTTAATCCTTATGATATCTACTGTCTTATGCAGAAAAGTTTTTATTTTGAAGTACTAAACTATTAAAATAGAAGAGTAATTGGAACTTTGTTCTTTGAAGGGATATAATTGAGTATTGTGGAGCTTGAGTTTGAGAATATTTTGTCTGCTGGATTAGTGTATGCTATGCCTAATTTGTAAAACTCTTTTGGTAAAACTCTTTTGGTACTGAACTTCTATTAGCAAGTAAGGATGTTACAGCTTTGTATAATAGGAAGTGTAAGAAAGGGAATTGACTTTCCTTGGTTTTGCCCTAGAATCCTCTTTAATAGCGGTTGCTGTATCTTTACTGCTGTGACAGTCATGTTAGTTACTTCCTAAGTAGGTCTAATTTTAAGTAAAGCCATTTGTTGGAATTATTTACCGGGTAGCTAGTATTTATTGATTTCCAGAGTCACAGATCTAAACATTTCGAGGGGGGAATAATAAAGCAATAATAATAGGAAATACTTATAATGTGCCTTCCATATGGTGGGCATGTTTATGAACACTTTAAGTGCATTAACTCATTTAATCCTAACAATTGTGTGAAGAATTTATTTTTTCCAGATGAGGAACTGGGCATGGCGGGATTAAAACATGCCTCAGGTCACACACCTAGATAAAGGTAGGATTTGAACCTAGGCAGTCTCGCTTCATATTCCATAGTATTAAAGGTGCTGTTCTGCTTCTGCACGAAGGTACAGACAGGAGTTCAGAGATTGGAAAAGAGTTCTCATATTAAAGGCACTTAAATTTTAGTTGTGTATAAACATGTGAAGTCATGGAAAAAATGGTAAAATTCAGATAATGTCTTTTCTTCCCAAGGACTAGAATTTTTTTTCCTTCTAGTCCTTTTAGATTTATTTGGACCTTAATATTAAAGCAGATCTAGTTATAGATAGCACATTTTTATTTTGAAACTAACAAAGTGGTCTTTTGTTTTGCAGTGTGCTTAAAAAGTTTGCCATATTATGATTTTTTTTGCAATTTATACTTAATTTGGGAATTAAGAAAAAAATATTTTTTTGAAAGATTTTATCTGTTTATCAGAGAGAGAGAGAGAGAGAGAGAGACAGAGCACAAGCAGGGGGAGCAGCAGGCAGAGGGAGAAACCCACTCCCTGCTTAGCAAGGAGCCCTGCTAAGTCGAGTCCTGAGGGACTTGATCCCAGGACTCTGGGATCATGACCTGAGCCACCCGGACATTCCAGAGAAGTACATTTAAATGATGATTAATTGTTAAAATTACATGGGAGTTTATATGTAAAAATATTTTATAGCCTGCTAATCTCTATACTCCAGTGTTTCTTGATGTAGCTAACTAATAGTGATACCAACTACACTTTATTGAGCACCTATTACAAGCGGGATGATTTTTCTGTATAGTTTTACTTAATCCTTAGAACAAACCAGCAAGATGAGTTTTTGTTTTTTGTTTTTGCAGATGAGGAAACTGAGGTCTATAAAGGTTAAGTAACTTGTCATGTAGTTTTCAAATGGCTTGGCAAGTTCCGTGACTTAAAAGCTATTGCACGTGCCTCTAGTAACAACTACTGTTTATTAAGTACCTTCTGTTCTTTGGGCACTATGCTTAGCACTTAGCATGTGTTTTTTGTTTTTTAATTTAGTCTTCACAAACACTTGACAATAAATATTACTCTGTTTTACAGCTAGGGAAACTGAAATTCAGAGAGAGAAATTAATTTGTCCAGGTCCAATAGTTGTAAGGGTAGGAGATTGTATTCTGATATTTAGGCCTTCTGACTTAATGTTACCACAGTTGATTCAATATTTTACATGTCTATAGTATGTGCCTAATTGTGACTACGGATAAGAAGTGCTATAGGTTTAGAGAAAGAGAATAATATTTAGATATATTTTGTCTTGACATTTAAGATTTTAATGTATTAATATGAAAACTGGGAGGACCTTTGAAAATTTTGTACACATTAGGTAATTTCACTGATATGGCATGATTGTAGTTTACATGTTATTGAAAGACTTAAATACTTTAGATTGTACAATTTGATACATTTTTAAGTGTGTTTACTTTTTTTTTTTTTTTTTAAAGATTTTATCTATCTATTTGACAGACAGAGATTACAAGTAGGCAGAGAGGCAGGCAGAGAGAGAGAGGAGGAAGCAGGCTCCCCGTGGAGCAGAGAGCCCGATGCAGGGCCCGATCCCAGGACCCTGGGATCATGACCTGAGCCGAAGGCAGAGGCTCCAAACCACTGAGCCACCCAGGCGCCCCACCTTTTTTTCTGTTAGTCTTCTTTATTACTTAAAATCAAACCATTAAAATTGTACCTTGTGTTAACATGCGATTCCTAGTTCACAGTAAAAGTGATACAATTTGACAGCCAGGATAGGAGATGAACCTGTTTCAACTATTTTAAAATTTCACATTTAAAAATGAATACATACTTATTTCTGTTTGCATAAAAAGGTCTCCTAAGTCTGTTTTGGAGTATTTGCAAAATATAGGCTGGAACAAAATATAAATTATCTTTAATACCACTATCCAAAGATAACCAACCATGTTTTGACATATATCATTCCAGATATTTTGTTGTAACTATATTTTTTATTTTGATTTTGTCCTCTGTTTGCTGTTATGTGTTCTTTTTCCACCTTATTATATTAAATATTCCTCTATCATTTGTTAGTGATGAATTATAATCGCGGTAATGATTTTATGGTATTTTATTTAATTGGTCTCCTATTCCTGAACATTTAGGGTTTCTGGGCTTTGTTTTGTTGTTGTTTTTGTTGTTCTTTGGTCATTTTGAGCGAGAC